AAAAAAAAAAAAAAAAAAAAAAGAAGCCAAAAGAATACTAAGAAGAACACGAAGAAGAAGAAGAAGAAGAAGAAGAAGAAGAAGAAGAAGAAGAAGAAGATGATGATGACGATGATGATGATGATGAAAAATCGATAAATCTATGGAGCTATCCCGGAGCGAACCAGCGAACAAAACCATAACGATCAATGCAGAAACCATTTTCTTGGAGAAGCAAAAATCCCTCCCCTCGTCAACGGGCCTAGCATAACTGCACTTGAGTCGTAATAAAAATGCCGCGGCATCATTTGGATGCACTGCCTCTGCGTGTGGCATATCAACAAAGCTTAATCAGAAAGATAAAGTAGGCTTTTTCTTTTTGCAATTGACTTATCTGGATTAACTCTAATCAGAGTTTATGAATAGCACACAAATACGTCACGCTATGTGTTGCAAAGTGCTGCTAACCAAGTTCACACAGTTTCAGTCCCGAGACAATGGACCCAATTTTCAGCAGCAGGTGCTGCTCCCCACCAAGAGAAAGGAGCGAAGCCAAATGCTCATATACCACTCCCATTAGTACGCCACGCCTTTCTTATTAACAAAAAAAAAAAAAAAAAACCTGTTCTCCTTGGGGACGCAGAACCAACCGTGCAGGATCATTGTTGCTTCAAGTGGAAAGTGGTTCCTAGCTTGGAGCTTGCTCTCACCCGAATACAATGTGCGGTCATTATTGCTGTATTTTTTAGACCGCACGTTGTATTCGGGTGGAGAAGGTAGGTTCGGCTTCTTAGCATGAAAGACAAGATTTGTCCACCATGTTGAACGCAAGCTGACATCTGTCCTCCTCCTGTCTCAAGCTCCAGAAGTACCTATGTACCACTCATGCCAGCAGTACCTATGTACCACTCATGCCAGCAGTACCTAGGAAGGTGCAGGACTCCTTCCCATATGTACCACTTATACTGGGAAGTGCCCTCCTCCTCTCATATTATGGCCGCAAAGCTCTGAGCAAACCTTGTTGCCATAGCCGGGACCGCCAGCCTCTCTGATGTTAGTCTAACCTGGCAAAATGACAGCCTGTATCACAGTTCATAACTTCATATTTTCTCAGCATGGATGAACAACCCATGCCTCTCTCTCACTCTCTCTCTCTCTCTCTCTCTCTCTCTCTCTCTCTCTCTCTCTCTCTCTCTCTCTCTCTCTCTCTCTCTCTCTCTCTCTCT